GTAACCTTAGTGTTTTAGTCAATGCAACATGGACTCACTGTTGGGAAAAACCTACTGAAGTCAGAATTATTGACCCCCCTGTATATTTGTCCCCAATTTATATTTAACAGAAAGAAGATTATTTCAACACATTTTCAAACATAATAGTTTTAATAACTCATCTCCAATAACTGATTTATTTTATCTTTGCCATGATGACAGTAAAGCAGGGCCGGAGTGGGACTCGTTTTCAGCCCTGGAGTTTCAAGCCTCATACCGGCCCACCTCAGTTCACCACTGACTATATTAAAATAAGGTTATTTCCAATTCAGTTTCTAATTACACTATCACGTCTTTTTTGAGAAAACAGCTCTTTTAGAACTTCAAATGTTAAACAACCCTTACAGTATTATGTCTTAACAATAAAAATGAAAAAAAAAAAAATTGTTACTCAGACAAGGACCGAACCCAGGTCAGCCGCGTCATTATCTAATCGTACTAACCACTGTGCCACAACAGCTGTATGGTAAACAGTGACTTATCTAGTTATATGATCATTAACCTGCAGGCTGCATCCTGCTCACGAGGCTACGAGAAAATAGATAAAAAGAGCAGAGCTGCGGTAAAATAATGAATAAGAAGACTCTGGTCAAGTAAATAAATAAATTATTTTTAAAAAGTGTGACTGTTGAGAGCAACAGATTCTGGAACTAGGGACACCGGCCCTCGCGGCCAAAAAACGGACCGGCCCACCGGGAATTCTCCCGGTCCTCCCGATTAGCCAATCCGGGCCTGCAGTAAAGACACTAGTATTCAATTTAAAGCGACATTTAAAGGCTTAATTAGGTTAACTAGGCAGGTTAGGGTAATCAGGCAAGTCATTGAATAACGATGGTTTGTCGATGGTTCCGTCTGGATTTTGCCTACCCAAATTTAAAAGCTTGCCAAATCCACATGCAGAGGTGTAAATGCCAAAAATTGGTATCATTTTAAAGAAAACCCTTTGAATTATCATAAAACACAATTGAAAGCAGAGGTCTCGTTAGACTTTCTCAATGTCATTTTGACAGAGAGGGTTGTAAAGATTCCATCATAACCAGCCTGATCTCACGAGAAAACGTAACGTTTTGCCAGTTTAGTGGTTAATTCGTACGAGTTCAGTCGTACGAAATTGTACGATTTTAAAAAGAAGGCGTGGCACCAAACCCCATCCCTAAACCCAACCGTCTTTGGGGGATGAGCAAATCGTACCAAATTGTACGAATTAAATCGTACGTATTGATACGAATTATACGCTACTAAATCAAAAAGTTACGAATTGCCGTGAGATTGTGTTGTCATAACCTGTTATTGCCCGTCATTTAGTTTGCATATTTTCGAATCGCTTTTAATTCATTGATTTATTCATTTTCTTGTCGGCTTAGTCCCTTTATTAATCCGGGGTCGCCACAGCGGAATGAACCGCCAACTTATCCAGCAAGTTTTTTTACGCAGCGGATGCCCTTCCAGCCGCAACCCATTTCTGGGAAACATCCACACACACTCTCATACACTACGGACAATTTAGCCTACCCAAATCACCTGTACCACATGTCTTTGGACTGTGGGGGAAACCGGATCACCCAGAGGAAACCCACACGAAGACAGGGAGAACATGCAAACTCCACACAGAAACGCCAACTGAGCCGAGGTTCGAACCAGCGACCCAGCGACCTTCTTGCTGCGAGTCGACAGCACTACCTACTGCGCCACTGCCTCGCCCCTAATCACTTTTTACATTCATATTTTAATAATGAACTTGCATGACGAGCATATAGGCTAAATTATTCATTTATTTATTCATTTACAAAACTTCTATCTGCCTTAACCTTAACTTTAACTTTATCTTTCTCCTGCGTCGACCTGAACTGCGTGCTTGCCTGTGCGTAATCAAACGCATCAAGAGAGACTGATGCAGAGGCAGTTGTCATTAAACTCTGTGTCTCTTTGCCTCTGAAAGTCGACTTCTCGTGATAGTTTTAATTTTGCTCTGGAGGCTGAAGCCGCGTTCTGCTGCCACACAGGAGACCAGAATTACTAGCGCCACTTCAGCCAGCGTTTTGTAGTTAGCAAACATTTCTCCTAGGGAAGAGATCAGAAGTTCCTCTGAATGTGGGATTTTCCGATCCTGCAAGCACTCGTTTCAATACTGCAGCACGTGCTCCTTCTGCACCTGCGTTTGATAGTGCTCACAACACACTCCAAAGCACCTGACCTCCTTGCTGCCACTTGGTTGGCCCGTAACAGCAGTCGGCGACTGAGGATTTTTGTCTGTTTGTTCTTCATCGTCTACCGCATCACTTCCTCTTTTTCCACCTTTATTATTAATATCACAACCATTTGGCCACATAAAGAAACTTCTCACACTCAGCTGCTGTGACATTTTTGCAACCAACTACGCAGCGGTGACAAAGAGGAGACAAAACAAGGACAGTCGCCATCAGCTGGACAGGAGTGGGAATTACAGTTAGCTACAAATTACAAAAGGGTATATGCCGAGCTAGTGCTGTTCCCGTGCTGATACACTTCCGGAGACCTGTTATTGTGAACTTTTTTCCATTTTATACGGTTCCTTATACAGCATCGATGTTGTAATGTCATTAAAATACATTCAGCTAAATAAACTTTAGCATTTATTTGGTTGCTCGAGCGTAAAACGAGACAAAAAGCTGTTTACTCGCACGCGCCCGTCAAAATCGGCTGGCTAACGCAAAAGCTCCATTGAATATACTGGGGTAAAATAAATGCTCATTTGGGAAATGTTTGAAAAATATAAAAAACACACAAGAGCGAATCATTTTGAGCTTATATATAAATATATATATATATATATATATATATATATATATATATATATATATATATATATATATATATATATATATATATATATATATATATATATATATATATATATACACACAATTCAGTGCAGTTTCCAGCTAAAATGAACACTAAGGGTGATAAAACACAAATACAACAAATGTTGCTTTGATTAAAACATGAAACATTGTGCCCCGATGTTTGCCCTGGCTCTATATTATTCATCTGACCTGTGAATGCTGTCAGACGGTGGAGAGAAGAGAAAGGCGAGTGCGAATAAATGGCCATCTGATATCAGGTATCTCGATGAGAAACGTGTCGCACAGCTTTCCTTCATATGTGGGAGAGGGTGAGAAACACACAATGAGGTGCAAAAACGCCGAAAATAAAGCCTTATATCAGACTGATGTGAGAAAATGAGACAAAAAAATAGCTTAAAGTTCACCTCCAGTTTTAATATAGTTTCAACACTTGCAGTCATAAAGGCTGATGGAAAGGTAAGTTAAAGGGGAGCTATTGTGCAAAAATCACTCTTATAAGGGGTTTAAACACAGCAGTGTTGCAGCAGCGTGCAGTGGTGGAAAGAGTACTGACAAATCATACTTAAGTAAAAGTAACATTACTAGCCCAAAAATGTAGTGCAAGTAGAGTAAAAGTATCTGTTGTGAATATTACTGTAAGTATGAGTACAAAGTAACCCTTTTAAAAGTACTCGAGAGTAGTGAGTAGCGAGTATTATGCTTTTAAAAGTCATTTTGCATTTACATGCAGTTTTTGCAGGGATGTGTAAACGTAACATTCTGTAGTGCATTTAGTGGTCTTCCTATATTCGTTTGTTCCTTCCAACATTTCTTCCATAGTTTGTTTGTTCTGTCCTTCCTTCATTTGTTCATTCCTTCCTTCTTTCCTTTGGTCCTTCCTTCGTTCCCCCCTTCATTTGTTCGCTCATTCATATTTTTGTTCCTCCCTTCTTAGGTCCTTTGTTCATTCGTTCATTCCTTTCTTAGTTTGTTCAGTTCTTCCTTGAATCCTTCATTCATTAGTTTGTTTGTTCATTTATATTTTTGTTTACTTTCTTCATTAGGTCCTTTGTTCTGTCCTTCCTTTATTCGTTTGTTCATTCCTTTGGTCCTTCCTTTGTTCCTCCCTTCATTTGTTCGCTCATTCATTCTTTCGTTTAAAATTTTGTCCTTACCCTCATGAGATCCTTTGTTCATTCATTTGTTTGTTCGTTTGTTCCTTCCTTCCCTTCTTTAGTTTGTTCAGTCCTTTCTT